TTGTTTTCAGCCACAAAAAGCCAGATTTCTCCCATGGCATATGTTGCCTAACCTTGATCCTGTTAGAGTTTACAATATTGTATTTTACACTTTAAGGAGGTGGATACCAGCGTCTGCGTGCTCACTTGTACGGCTCTCTGCTGTACTACCTTCAAATCGCCCAGAAACCTGAAGAACCAGACACTCTGCAAGCAGGTACAACACAGAAACATTAATACAGATAAATAAGTCCCGTATCTGGAATTATTTTAAAGGGACAATCGTACAGATGTTGTCTGGGTCATCTGACAACATCTCCCTATTCATTCCTCCAGCAGGGAAGGCAATGTGGGAGCGTCTCACAGCCCCTGAAGATGGTTTCTCCAAACTACAGAGAGAGAACCTTGCTATCATTGAGAGCTATGGCAAGGCTCTCATGGAGGTGGTGTGTCGGGACGCCTGTGACGGTCATGAAATTAGCAGGGTAAGAGCCACATAACAGCAGTATGACTCATACACTTACTTAGTTGTCTGACAAAACAGACAAAAATTAAGTTTTTGAAACTGAAGACTAGACTATTGAGGGCTAAATATACATGAGAGTAATCCAGTCTTAATAGCTGTCACAAATGCAAATAACTACTGTAGCCAGGCTCTTTGTCTTACTGTCAGCGCTTGCTTTGTCATCCTCTCCCCGTCTGTCAGATGCTGGCTTTGGCTGTGCTGGACCGGATCCTGTCCATAGACCGTCAGAATCAGTGGCTGGTTTACGTCTGCAACAGCGGCTACCTGCGCTCGCTAGTGGAGAGCCTGAGACAGGATGATGCCGCCCTGCAGACCCTGCTCACACCTCAGCCCCCCCTCCTCAAACCACTCTACATCTATGAGAGCAAGATGGTGAGGAGATGTGCACTTAAACAGACACACCGTACGAGCAGTCGTCTTTGCCTAAAAGCCTCTGTATTATCATATAGTCTCAGGATTATGAAGGTACAAACTGTGTGTTGCTGTGTGTTTTCAGGCTCTGCTGACTCGTGTGGCTAAGACGGGTCAGGGGGCTGTGGAGCTGCTGCGCTGTGGGCTGGTGGCGCAGCTGATAGAGTGTCAGGTGTTTGACATGGTACCTGACAGCGATGCACACAGGTATGGATGTGGAAAGGGAAGGACAGCGGTGGTGTGTTTTTATTCATAATAATTTGTGATGTTATTGATATATATGTTTGTGTACTGGACATTTTGAATAGAATATTCACCTACATTCAGACCGGACGTCTCACTCTGATTTTACTAGTGTGGACATTTCAATACTTTATGTTGGAATGGTATGAGTCAGCAACTTGTTCCTCCAGGAGAATGCATTAATTAGACTGCAGCTTCTTTCTCTCTTGGCCTAATGACCTCTGTTCTTAAGGTGTCTATTTATAGTATCACTTAAGTCTGTGTCTGTTCCCTCGTGGTCTACAGGGTGATGAGGGACCCATCAGGCTTCATCCCCAGCCCTATGGACCGCTACAGGCAGATTCTCTTACCAACCTTGAGGCTCTTTCAGGTGATCCTGACCTCTACCACCATTAATCACCAGCAGGGGGCAGCACAGGTAAGCACAAAACTACTAAATCCTAAAAGTGAGCATGTTATTAATGCCATTCATTATATCAAAAAGCTATATTGTGCCTGTTCTGACTGTAGACCCAAGTTGGGGTTAATGCTTCAGATCTGTGATCAGATGGATAGAAAATAAAAAGTGTATCTTGTACAAATTCTGTGTGTGTGTGTGTAGATTCTCCAGTGGCTGATAGTCCATGCAGACACCATTCAGTCCCTGCTGCGCTGTCAGGAGCTCAGTATGGGAGTTTTGCAGGAGCTCTCCCTGCTCACTGGCATCATCAGTAAGACAGCTCTGCCAGGTACAACCAGTCTTCTCTTTTTATCCACTTGGCTCTCTGTTACGTTTTCCCACTTCCACTTTGCAAGCCACATATTCACATATCAGAGACTCCATGAATGGTGTTGCTCATGTACTTGCTTGGTCTCCCAGGTGCCCTTGAGATGGGTGGGGAGGTCAACAGTGCTGCTCTTCTGGAGTTCCAGGGTCACATCAACAGATTCCAGGTTCGATAGCTTTCATAGTTTTTGTCAGGTGTAACGTTTGTGTTTCTGTTGTCGTCTTCTTTGTCCCTGCTAATGCACGCTAATGAAAATGTGTGAATTGTACAGTTGATAGTAAGTCTCCTCTGTTTGTAGCGCCTGTGTCTGTCCCTGCTTGGCCGTCTGGCGGGTAGCGAGCGCGAGAGGTTGCTAAAGCAGGCCGAGATCGCTGCACCTGGAGACTCAGCAGACAGACGAGAGGAGATGGAGGTGGCCATGCAGCAGGTCTGACAAAAAGAATTCTATAAATGTCACAGTAAAAGATGTATGGTGATGCCTGTGATTATTTATTTGGTATTTTGTAAGATTTCAGCAGTATAATGGATGGTGAGAGGAGAAAACAAGATAAATATAGCACTGAAACAATGTGTGTAGAGTCTTGCATAGTCAGGATTATTTATCAGCACTCCATTGCCAGTGACCTGAAAGGTGTTGTCCTCTGAGCCCAGGTGTGTGCTAACATCATGGAGTACTGCCAAACACTGCTGCTGCAGAGCTCAACCCAGGCCCAGTTCAGCATCTGCCTCTTCAGCCCGTCAGGCAGCGAGCCAGCTGGCAGGGACGGGGGACGCGCAGGTCAGTCATATTCTGCCCATACTCAAACAGAGGAAAATGAATTAGACTGCTGTCACTGTATGCTGTCTGAACATTAATGGTATTGTTCCTTCCTTCAGTGTCTGATATCTGATCAATGTAGAAATCCGGAATCCCTTGAGCCCCTTTTAGCTTCACTCATTCACTGAAGCATGACACTGAACCATGATTCTTATTTTTTAAGATCTCTCATCCACTCTGCCATCAGTGGCTTATTCCCGTGCCCCCAGCCTGGGTCTGGTCATGTACCTGCTGAAGAACAGCGCTGCAGATTTCTTCCGGTTCCACCAGAGTCACAGACAAAGCCTGGGGAAGCTGCAGAGTCTGGATCAGCTGCCGCCTGAGGAGCTCAAGGAGGTAACGATGGACCTATACACTAAATCACTGTACACACACAATTTATTTAGAAATGCTGAATTTAAATGTAACTATTCTTTCTGTTATGCACCTTATCGGCTCCAACATGCATCGTTTTGAGTTGTAACCACAGACATCTTCTCTGTAGTTGTGCCAAGGCCTGGTGTCAGGCCCAGGAGGGGTGGAGAAAATCTCATCAGTCCAGAGGAGCTTGCTGGCCAAAAGACGACTGGTCCAGCTCATCAACAACAGAGCCAAGCTGCTGGCCTTGTGCTCCTGTATCCTTTGGCCCTCTGCAGGCACACCAGAACTGAATATTATTTATATAGGTTATTGTATGTTATGTCTTTGGGAGTTCTGTTGGAATAACACTGTATAAATACCACAATTGAATTGCAATGAAATGCCTTGACTAACGTCTTCCTCAGATGTTATTGAGACGTGTTTGTTTGTGCTGTGGCGCCACCTGGAGTACTACCTGTTGCATTGTACTCCCACTGACCCCAAGGACTCCCTGTTGCCTGGAGCCAGTTTGTATAGATCACGCCTCGCAGACGGTGAGAAGACACGTTACAGCTGAATCCACATTTAAGCCAGGGTTGAAATCGAATGAATTTAGTTTGATTGTAGTCAGTAATTGAAACATTTCTTTTCGTCAGACTCGTTTGGCGGGTTGCAGGGAAGTGGAAGTCGTGGCCTTGGCCTTTCCAGAGTCAGCCAGCAAGACCTCGACGTGGTAAGAAATGGCTGTAAACCGGCAGCCAGCTGCGTGTACATGTTGCACACATGGGCATGAGCATTATGTTGTACACACTTTGACAAACATCATATTGTGTACATATTTATGTTTGCACCTACATTATTCCTAATCCCCTCTGCCTTCTGTTTGCCTGAACACAGCTGAAGAGCGACATGGCCGCCGGTTTCGGAGAGGCTCTGCAGAGGAAGCTCCTGGAGGTGGAGGGTTTGTACAGCCAGGTCCGCTCCCGCTACACCTTCATCCAGGCCCTGGTTCGCAGGATCCGCGGTCTGCTCCGACAGCCCAAAAGCTGAGACAGACTCGCACACAAATACAAAGACTGGCCAAGACCCCAAATACTCCATTGCTTGAATTGAATGAAAACCTGTTGCCAAGCAGCACCAGCAAACCAAACTACCAAGGACTCCAACTTTCTGTCAGTTTGCTTTTTCTGGCAGCTCCTTTTTACCAACCTGTTGTTTACACCATCACAACACGTAGTGCATTCTGTGTGACCTGTCCTAATTCTCTGACTAATGCCGTGCAAGGAGCGTTCCCCTAAGAAGTAACTTGCACAATACAGTTATGAAATTTTTACTCAGTAAGAGAGTGATTGATTTACTTTAGTTTGCTCTGATTTGTCTTTTTTTTCTTTTGTGAAAATAAACGTTTTCTAAATCTGTTAATTCTTGTCTTGTTCACACACACACACACACACAGATTACATAACAAATCACCTAAACATCACCCGTTAGCACAATTTATTTTGTTTATGGATAGCAGTCTGAAATCACTATCTGCTTAGTTTCTATTCATGCACACTGTATTCTCATCATGCACTAATGTGAGAGTACAGTGTGCATGAATAGAAACTATTGTTTGATCTGCAGTATTCTTACTTTGTCGGTTATCACGTACACAGACCGTCGACCACTTCTGATAAACTGCAACTACTGACTTCACCTGTTTTTATGTGCATGTCTTGGGTGACTCATTGTGAAAATCTTCCTATCAGGAGAAGCAAAACAAGGAACCAAAACGAGACCTTTCTTTGTGAAAGTAGCATCACAATGACTGATGTGAGCAGAAGTGTCGGACTGGTTTGAATCGCTGTGCTAACACCTTGTAGGTCAAATCATTCAAGCAGTAATATAACATTACAAACAAGCTAATGCCACAGAAATCGTATTGAATCTGTTTTTATTTTCTTAGAAGGTACACTTTATAAGATTGTAAAGTGCGTAGATTCTCAAACCTTTGGGGGAAGGGATGAGAGGACACATAAAAAAATCTGGATATACATTCAGATCTTACAGACAGGGAACTTTTGTGCTCTTGTTTTTTATTTGAATACTGAGGAGTTCAGGGAGGGGGTGAGACTCAGGTGAGCACCAGCATTGAGCACGGAGAGGGGGGGAAAGGGACTTGGAACACAGTCCGTCCAGCACTGTGACCGGTCGCTGTCACACTGAAGAATCAAGGCGACGCGTCCGACGAGTTAGTGGAAAAACATCTGCTCCCGGGGGAAAAAGTCTACCTACTGCACTCCTGAAGTCGAAGTCGTGAGGGAACGACTGTGTGCTACTTTAACAGATCATGCTTATCATACTCTATAAATTACTTTAAATAATAAAATTAATTACAGCATTAAAAACACATTTACATATCTCGCCCCAGCTTTGTTATATCTGATTGTGCTGCATTTGCATCTAAATAGAAAACTCTGCCACACGAAGACAATGATCCCCGCTTATCTCTAAGATCCACTTATCATTCATCCTGTTTTTAATGCAAACGTGTGATGTATGACAATACATATTGTGAGATTATAGAGATTTGTGAATTCATATTGTTTCTACCAAGGTAGCTATACCTTTAAAAGGGGCACACAACAGTTGTGTAATGTAATGTCATCGGAGACTCTGCAGGGAGCTTTCTAAAATCGGGGAAAATAACCCTGATCACGTCATAGTGATGTCATGAGAGCTTGGTTTGAGACTTCAAATACACGACAGAAATCCTGGGGGTTTAACGGGCAGGGAAGGTCTAAGTCACTATTGTGTTACAAAATGGGATTTGTAGGATTCAGTGTTTTTAAAGCATGGCTTACACTTGTGGATATCTCGGCCTCTGCTGCTCCATTTTTGACTGTTTTAAAAAGGTCTGTCTCTTGCAATTCTCCAAAACCTTCTGAAATAGCTCTGGCTGTCATTGTAGGCAATGCTGAAAATCAATGAGCAATGATTTATTGTAGTAATGCATTCACAAGATGTTTGCATCAATATGATGAAGCACCCTGATTCGTTTCTTACACTGGGTGAGCCAAAAACATTCACATTTGGTTATTTGATCTATAAATGGTTTCTTAACTCACAGTATGTATTGCCATTGTGACACACTGGCAGAAGAGTTTATCCATATCATAGAAAACACACTACAGCAAAGCAGATCAGCCCACGTGCATCCAGAGTTTGATTAGACTGCTGATGAATTTTCATTGAGCGATAAGAGACAGAGATGAGACCATTATTATCCAAACACATCATCATTTTCCCACTTTTGAAACCATCTTCTCAAGCAAAGAAAAGCGGGAATACTGTAAATATTTTTTATCATACAGATGTCGTATCTATGTTATCAAAACCAATTTCTCGAACTGATTTCTGTACACGAAAAACATAATTGTTCCTTTTTGAAAAGAAAAAAACAAAACATTTATACTACACAGGTACACAGAGTTGAATTACAGCACCAGCAGACTTAGTTTGGACCATCCTTTTGCTTTGATTCACATCCTGTACAGGGCGCTGTGTAAGTCTGTGGTTGTCCACTGGCTCAAGAGGAGTTGACATCTTTGTTTGAGCTGTCTTTAATAGTGCCTGTTTGAGGGAAGTCGATCAATCCTGAGGCCCCGTTGCTCTAGTGTTGATTGTACCAGACGTGTCCTTTAGTAATCCAGCACAGCTCTAGCAGTGAATAAGAAATACTTTTTGCAGGTTTATGAGAAAATCCATGAAGAAAGTGGGAAAAAGGAGAGTGGCAAGAGAAGGCAGCTTATCCAGCACTGATTTTTTTTCCACTTTGTCTTTAAGATTCAGATTTAAGGACAGCATGGAGAGTGTGCATTTGTATTATATGTGTGCATCACAACCTGCACGTATTGTCTTCCTTGATCAATCCAACGGTAGTTTGCTTGCACACTTATGTGCTATCAGTACCCGCTTCTTGTGCGTTGTTGTCCATCATGTTGGCACTGCTGCCGTTGGTCTGAGGGCATTCCGGCACCTCCCCCGTCACTGCCACTCGAATCACCTTCAGCCAGCGCTGCTTGAGCTCCTCGTTCTCGGCTGCAAAGCTGTGGATGGACTTGGACTGAGAGAGGCGGAAGCTGGCCGGAAGGTCTGTGGGCCGGGCGCTGTCATCCACATTATAGCCCAGGAGCGGGATAGTACACTGGGCCTTCACGTCCTGAGGAGAGTGGTCAGGGATGAAGAGATTATCTGTATGAATGGGTTTTTAAACAAATCACTTCATTTCTTCATTGTTTTTGGTGTTTTACCTGCGGAGCTCCGTAGAGATAGAGCACCAGACACTCCTTCTGCGGGATGACGCACCACACCTTCTGCCAAGGTTTGTTCTTCTCACAGTACTGCAGGAAGCCACACATGATGCTGCTGCCTGTGAACTGAGCTGCCTCGATCTGCACATGCAAATGAGTACAAAAAACAATAAACCAACGCTTGTTCAAAAATGTAGTAAGTGACATCTGTATTTCTATGTCAGTTATCTCTTCATTTAGTATTTCTAAATGTATGAGTGCATCCTCTTCACCTCCAGGATGCCCTTCTTCTTGCCCTCGGCTAATGCTTCTCCGGTCAGGATGGAGTAGCAGTCTTTGCAGACTTTGTTCATCTTGTTACTGTCATATTCGAGCTGCACCTTATTGTCTGAACACTTCCAGCACACCACCTATAAGAAAGAGGAAGATAAATATACCACATTCCTATCAGAACTACAATTCATGTTTAAAAAGGAAGTATCTCTAAGCATCATTTAGTTTACTATGACTACTTTTAGTTAGTAGGCATTACATTATATTATTTCATTATTAAAGCATGTTCAGGGCATTTTGCATGTGATTGGTAGCAGACAGTAAATGAGGAGAAGGGCACTTGATCTTTAATAACCAATTAAGCAAAAAGAAGGGTTGTTGTAGAGGATGACTATACTCATCAACATCTTTGGTAAAAAAGTATTCAGGTAAAAAAAAAAACATGAATTATTGGTGTTTAAAATCAATATTCCGTCTCATTTTAACTGCAAGCTCTGAATCAGTAAAAGTTCTCTCTCATCCACCAACTGTATATGCATTATGCATGACTTACGTAGCCGCAGGCTCTGCAGTGGTGTCTCCGCCGTGTCAGAGCGTTGAACGGCTCTTTACACTTCATGCACATTGTCACTTCATTGTCGCGGATCCAGCGAGGGGCACGCTTCCCCAGCTCTGCGTTCTGTATTCAAACAAACACACATACACTCAGTATGACGCCGCGGAAAGGTGCCGATGGTTTAACTGTGTGTGTACGGCTCCAACGCGACACTTACTGACACTTCCTCCACATCTCTCAACGCGTTCTTGAATGACTCATTTTTTTGCTGGAAGATCTCAATGGTTGCCCGGAAAGCCTGAAGGATAATAATAATAATCACGTGTGAGTCCCTCTACATTACCTTAAAACATGTATAATCAAATATGCAAATGATGTACGTACCTTAATCCAGTCTGCCTTGTCCTGCTCTGAGCTGAAGAGGAAACATAAAGCCAGAATAAGCACTGAAGCACTGAAATTCTACAAACCTTAACTTCCTGTTCCTCTTATAACACCGAGTTAAACCAACATAGCAGTTAGCTGTGACCAAAAGAGGTTTACAGGACTAAAATATGGTGCTTGGGTGTGCTCATTTAGGTGGTCTTCCATATATACATGAAATTATACTGTATGGGTTACAGATTACATATAATTATATACTTCAACGTGGAAGGGGCTGGGATGTTTTTTTAAAACTTACTGGCACTGTGTGTGATATTTTTGCATAAAATGTACCTGGCCTGTAGCTCCAATGTCCTCTCCTTCCCAGACACCTGGAAGGTATGAGGGTAATCCTCGTTGGTCGTTTCCAGGACCTTCATGCCGTCGATGCCAATCCGCGTCCTTACTGTGTACTTCGCCCCTCCCAGGCTGAATTTGGGCACGCAGTACAACAGCATGTTGTTGAACTGGCAGCAAAAGAAACACAAAACGCTTACTTATAGCAGAACATGAGGTTTGTGGCATTGTTTTCTTCCAAAAAGAGGCAGTCTCACACCACAGGTAACCTGAATTACACATATGGGAGACATGCAGCCTGAAGCTAATAATAAACAGCCAGAACATAATCACATCATCTGGCAATCTCACTAATTGAGAGATTTGTTCATGTGCCCCTGGTGGATCCTCACGCAGAGGTGTTCCGGGCTTGAAATGATTCACTTGTTTCAATTGACTTGTGCAGAAGAAGTCTCGCCACAGCATATTTCCCTGCAGTGTTGTTCATTAGGCAAGGAGGTGTTTTTGCGCTCGGCTGTTTATCTCACCAGGAAGAGGTATCGCTCCATGGCCGAGGTGTTCCTGGCCGCCAGCTTCAAGATGTGGCCCTCTTTGATGAACTCATTAGAGGGGTTGACAATGTCCTCCTCCTCGCCCAACATCTCGTATATCTCCATCAGCTTCTTCAGATTATCCTAAACAAGAATGGGACTTTTTTTTTAGTTGAATGTTGATGTGTCAGAGAGATTCTGTATTGGTTTAAAACGTCTGAGACTTACAGATTTTCGTATGGCGCTATTGGAGTGAGTAGCAGCTGTGGCGATGATTTCTAATGATTCTGGGGGGGGGGGAATAGATCGGTTACTTCAATATATCCCAAGTGAAATTAAAATGACTCCCCGGAGTGGGAATTTTAGGTATTTCAGCTTACTTTCTGCATCTCGTCGGTCAGAGTCGTCCTGAGGCAGCTTCTTCAGATAGTCTTTGAGCAGCATCTCGTAGCGAGGGACTCTCTGCACGGGCTCCAACATGTGATGCTGCAGCGTCAGGAAGCCACACACCTCTTGACTCTGTCCAGAAACAACCACAAAAAATATGAATTTTACCTCACTTTCTCATCCAACCCCAAACCTATTCAATGTTAACAACTCCAACCTGTATTTTTCTGGACAGGATTTTGGTTGGCAGTACCTGTATCTCCTGAATGATGGCCTTGAATTGAGGAGAACGATCGGTCCACTGTTTCAGCAGCTCCATGGCTTTGTCGAAATTCTTCACGTACTCTGCATACATCTTGAGGAAGGGTGTGAGTTTCTGCAGGATGTCTCCAATACGAGGTGTGGACGCCCTGCAGGGAGGGAGAGGTAGGTTTGTGAATCATAATGTGGAGACTTGAGGTTGTAAAAGTAAACAGCATCTTTTTTAGAGTTTGAGTGTTTAAGACAATGTGAAGGCAAGTTTTGATACAGGATCCTATAGCATTTATGATCATTTCATTACAGGCTAAAAGCTCACCATTCTCCCATGCGTTTCTCCAGATCTGGAAGCAGAAACTGGCTGTGAAAGGCATGGATGGAGGAGATGTTGGAGAAGATGTTCTTCACCACATCCACAGGGAATGTCCCTTTATTTGCTTCCTCCATTAGCTTAGCACAGAAGACCTGTGGAGCCGTACACAACATAGAACTGATAAGTGACAAATAACTGAAAATCTCACAAAAATGTATTTGTACGCTTCCACAACTGTGTAATTCAAACCCTTTACTATGTAACAATGTAAAAAAAACAGAAGTGTACACCTCACCTGGTCCAGCAGGTTAAGTCGAGCCACATAGGCCTTCTCTGTATGCAAGAGCTCGCTTGCAATCTTAAACAGCTTCTGTTCATTTGTCTCCTGGAAACAGAGGGTACATTACTGTGAATTTGTACATGTGTGGTGATCTTAATTTAACTTCTGCTCATTAAGGAATTAGCGAAGTGTGTCATCTTATTCTGTTGAGCTAGAAAGTCAGCAACACAGTCACACAGTTCGAAGTCTGCATAAGGACTGTTTCCAGTCTGATACCTCTCTAATGATGAGTAATTAGTATTGTCATCTCAGGCTTAAAGGAAAATGGGACCTTATAGGCTTTCACCAAAACGACTGGAGTTAAACTGAGCTAAAAATAACGCAGACGTGTAGGGCAAACTGTCTGCCGGGCATGAATTCAATCCAAATTAGTATCATTGTCATTTGCAAGTGTAGCTTCCCGTCCCTCTGCAAGTTCCTGTTTGTTTCAGGTCAATGACTTAAGACTGGGTTCACAGTACACACAACTCTTTTTAAAAGAGCCATCAGAGAATACATAGCTGGGACAACATGTTGCATTTTCTGCATTTCAATAACAAAATGTTCATGGCAAATCATGCATTTACTGTACTGAGTCAGGTTCAACGCCTCAGTGACTCCTCTGTTGTCTGAGGGCAGCCTTGCGTTATTAAATGCTGTTTCACAGTTGTTACAGACAGCAGCATGTAGCACTGGTGTGTGTGTCCTTAACATGGGGGGGGGGGTGTGGATTAGGCTGTGGGTGTAAGCCAGTGGTTCTCTTAGAACCGGGAAATGAAAATTATAGATAAGGGAAATACACCAAAAACAAAAAACAAAACACTGAGCTTCTTTGGGAGGCAATCAGTATGACGACACAAGAACTGTAGCCTCAAAATCTACTCAATCAAAAGCATCCAAACAAATGCGTACTGATATGATGAAATGTTGCTCATGCCAGGACAGTTTACCGCCACAGTGGACCGTGGCATGGAATGTATTTTTCGCACGATGCACTAACCAGAAGGAACTGCATCTCCTCTCAAAAATGTTGGTTTCTAAAGTGCCCGAGAGCAATCAGCCTCACATTTCCACATAATCATTTTCAACACATTCCACAGTGGTTGCTAATCCTGCTTGCTGACTTTCTGAAAAATAATTTGTCCCAAAGCGTACGATTGGTTTCAGAACGAGAAAAAAATGCAATTCATTAGGCTTTTCAAATAGGACACTTGGTCAACCGGCAAATTGTACAAGATGAGAGGAAGCATTGAGTGGTTGGGAAGGCTAGTTACCAGTAAATCTTACTTAAGTGCTTGGGGGTACTAAGAACACGGCTCCAGTGTGTAGGATTTAGTGGCGGCTAGTGGTTATTTTTCGTGACGTTGCCAAGATTGTAACTCCCGTCCGCTTCACCCCCTTGTTACTTTTCAGTTAAGATATAACACAAGGCATGATGAGCTTTCTTGTAAAATTCAGATTTGCGGTATTAAGAAATTAAACCATGAAGCCTCTCCTGATCTTTAGTGTCTCCGTTAAGTGAACTCTATACTGAGAGGAATGCAGTGATGTAATAATGGGGACACTCGCTTCGTCCATCCGTTTCATGGTTCTAAACCTCGTCCTATGGGAGGTTAGTTAGCAGTTCGTGATCAAAGATCATGTAACTCCTCAGATGGTTTCAATATTAAATCAAGAAACACAAGCTGCCTGCTCAAACGACCCAATTGAGGTACATGACATCTTTGCTGAAAAACTTAATATTCTAGACAAAAACAATCGGCTAGGAAATGTTAAAACCCTAAAATATTAACTAACCTACTAATAACATGAGGCAGCATGACACTTTTTTTATCCTCTTTCTACCCCATTAGTCAGTTCAGTGGACCCCCCCAGGGAGTATCCTGAGACCCTTTTGGAATGGCCTTGAGCCCCACAGTTTGGAACATCGTTGGGACTACTGCCAATTGCTGGGACACTCATGAAAAGTATCAAACCGAACAGGTTCTACCCTCAACCACTGGCTATCAGCTCTTGTAGAACAGCAAATACTTTGGATTACTTTCGTATTGACAAGTACTGACAATATGACACTCGATATGGAGTGGATGTCATCTTGAGTCAGTCGCATGAGGGACTGGAGTTTGAAAATGACGAACGAGAAATAATGCCCGCGCTCGCCTCGGAACCTCCACGCAAGGTCCCCCCTGGTTCCCGCCCACTCCTCGCGCTAAGAGTCCGTCAAGCGCTCTCCTTCTGCATGTGAGGTTAGAGACTGAGGGGCTAAATTCCAGGCGCAGTCGCAAAGACTACTAACATAACAAAGGTTATGAATCTCAACAACCAAACGTGTCAGTCGGCTGGGGGGGAGTTGAATTGTCTTGTAGAGTAGGTCATGTCACTGGGTGCCAAAATATCTTTAGTTCTGCCCTTGTTTTAAGTACATTTTGCTGCTATAGACTTCAGACTTTTACTCGGACTCATAGTTAGGGTAAATGATTTCCTACGATGGTTTCAATCCCTTGGTGGTGTATGGGACGATATTATAGATATGGTTTTGTGTTATAGCGCACTCCAAAGTTAACAAGATCAGTAGTGCCTGCAAGTAATGGTCACTATGTGTGCTAAACTCATGGAAGAACGCATTAATTCCAAGCAGCACAAGGCAAGTGATTAACAAATCCTAATAGTAAAGTGGAAACCAAAGGCTACTTCAAATTTTAATCCAGAATAACTTGATATGATTTCAATGCTAGTCGTGACTCCCTAGATTTCGCACTATGAAAAAACAGAAAATGCAAGTCTAAAAAAAAAGAGATACATAACAGATCATCCCGGGGTTGGTGTGTTGGTTATATATGGCTTCCGCTCTTCGGGTGCATACAGACGGGTACTGTGTTTGGCAAAATTCTTCTGTACCAGAGTCCGCCGGGACGGAAGACATCGGAGGATAGATATTGACCTGTAGGATATTTCACTCTGCTTTGATACCAATCTTCGTGTAACATATGCAAGCGGCACCACACTGGGTCCCATCAGGGCGAGATGTGTCCGCCGGAGTTCAGCATAACTACAGCTCTCTGTGTCGGATCGACATGGCGTGCTCGGCGGCCTTCGCACAGCGGTATATAAAAACACTTGCTGGCACACTAACTCACACCTCCAGGCAGCCCTGTGTTGTTCTTAGGAGCATAACCATTTGCAGCTACCCTGCTGTCAGAGTAACCGGGAGATGTTGATAGGGTCCTGTGCGGTCCAGTCCAGTGGAGCTCCCTTGTTACTTCGGTGGGTGACCACGAATCGCTCTCTACAATCTGTCTCCCCGTACTGGCATCCAGAA